GCTCGAGTGCTTCCTGGTCCCGCCCCCAGGAACGTCCGATTGGGCCACTCCGGGGGGTGTGTGGGAGGGGCGGGGCACGCGCAGGGGGAGCAGCAGAGATGGTACGGTCCTTCCCCTGGCTTCCAACGCCACCCCCGGCGGTTCAAGTTTCTGCGCCCCGAGGACGCAGCCGTGGCCAATCCCTGAGCTGCAGGGCGCTTTTAAAATGCAGGTAGGGCTGCGGGGAGGGGGCGGTGGGCAAGGTGGGGCAGGGCTGCGTTTAAAGGGGACGCGCGGCCTGAGCCCGAGCCCCCTCTCCGCCGAGCCCCCGCCCTCCCGCCCCCGCCCCCATAAACCAACACCCGGAGTCTAGGCTACGCGTCCGCTGTCCCTCCCCAGGGCTCGGAAGTTCAGTGTGGTCTGGGTCTCCACAAACAATGGGCTCCCGCGCGGGGTCGTCTTCCTGGGGCTGGGCAGCGCCTTGTCCCCTGCCCTGCTCTGCCTTGGGTCCACTGCACGGGACTGGTCTGCCGTGGTGTCCCTGGCGTGGTGGGGGAGCTTTGGAACGCGCCCCACATCCACACCGGTCATTCGTGCCCGGGACTGGGGGGGGGTGGCCGGGGGACACTCGGGGACTAGATGAGGTTCGCTCCCGGGGAGCGTGAAACCGATTGCTGCAGCCTCTCCAGCCCAGGGAAGCGTCCCTCCCTGGGGACCTGGAACGAGATCCAAGCCGCACGCGCGGCCCACAGCTGTCTGAGGCCCACGCAGCCTCGGGTCCCCACTCGCAGCTCAGTCGTTCATTCCATCACCGCGCACGCATCGGGGTTGGTCCAGCGGAGCACGAGGCACGGGAGCTTGAGTCTGGGGGGATGGGGGCGGCATTCTGCTGGGAGGAGGGAAGGCACATAATGAAGGGGACTCCTGGGGCAGTCCTCTAAGACCTGTGGGGATGTGGGTCTTGGAAGGACAGCCAGGCCGGAGGCACAGCTACACAGATAAGGCGGAGGTCGGGCATTCCTGCAAAGACTGGGAGAGGTGGTCCGAGGCACCTAGCGGAAGATCTGGCCTGATGGGGAGGGCTTAGGCCGGCGAGCTTAAGCAGGGAGGGGCATACCCAGTAGAAGACTCGCTCTGGCCAGTCCGGGGCGTGAGCGGGGAGAGGCCTCGGGGTCCAGATTCACCACCTCCTCCCCCACCCCAGCCGCTAACACGCTACTTGGCGGGAAGAGGCTGGTGGGGCCAGGCAGAGCCTGCCAGCGTCAGGCCCCAGGGGTGCTGAGAGGTCACCACGCCCAGAAGAGGCACTCCCAGGATGTGGGGGTCGTCTTCAGGGTGGGATCTGGACAGGAAGGGCGTGGTTTCAGCTCAGCCTTAGGACCCTGCAGGCCTGTCTTTACTCTGGGAAGCCCAAGACACCCATTGATCCCCGTGGGCTGGGACAGAGGGGACAGCCGGGCAACCCACAGCTCCCCTGGCAGTGCGCACAAGCTGCTGCGGGTCTACATTTGGCACTAGAGAACCCCTGCCACCCCCCATGTTGGCCCAGTCGGTTCTGGTGACCTGAATTCAGTCCTCCAGAGCTCTCTGCTTTCACTGACCCCCAACCAGAAGGGTTGGCCTGTATGTCCCTCAGACTGGGCACCCCAGGGCCCAGCATGCTCCCGCAGACCAGAAACAAAGGAGGGAAGGGAAGGCAAAATAAGAATAAATGTGGGGCATAGAAGGGTCAGATCAAAAAAGCTGCTCCTCATAAAAGCTTTTAGCACTGAGGGAGGGTCTCCAGCCCCCCAGACCACAGAACTGAAACAGGGACCTTGCAGACTAGAGCCCCCACCCCCAGACAGAGTCCTCGGGCCCACACAAAGGAGACCCCTAAGTCACTGATCCCAGCACGGCTGTTCTCCACCCTACCTGCCCAGTGTGTGGGTTCTCTCAGAAGTCAAGTCACCCCTCCCATACCAATTTACCCTCCCCACCCGCTACCCCGAACCTTCCAGGGTGGATGTCTCCATTGAGAGCCATGTGAGTACCTTCAGAGGCACCCATGGCACAGTGGGGTAAGCGTTAGGCTGGTAACCAGTTCTGATGCACCAGGGTGGAAGGGTGGACCTGGAAAGACCGGGAGAGGTCATTAAAGGGGCCTAGTGGCCAATCTGGCTTGAGATCACAGGGGAAAGGTGGGGACAGTCTCAGAAACCTGGGAAGCACTTCCGTGTCCTAGAGAGTTGATAGGAGTCAGGAGCGACTCCAGGGCAGTGGGTTTGGGGTGGACACTTTGAAGCCAGCTGGGTGGAGCCACCACGCTAACACACGGTAGACAAAATAGTCCCAAAACAGAGAGGTGAGGGTGGTGAGAGCGTGCTGGTGGTGAAGAGATAGCCCTCTGTGGGCCAAGAAGCCCACCCGATGGTCTGCCTCAGTGTCTCACAGTCTCAGCCCTGCTCCTCTGCTCTGTCTCGTGGTCTTGCCTCAGCCACTGTCTGCTCTAGCGCATCCTGGCTTCTGCCGCCTCAGGCAGGGGAATTGAAACAATTGCTCTTCTTCCTGGATGGTCCCGGAGTCTCTCTGCCCCTGCTTCTGAGATGGCTCTCTTATACACAGTGGAGTGGCCACTAAAGCTAATGAACCCCCTCTGTTAGTGTCTTACACACCCGATTTGCATGTTGTTATCAGGTGCCATCAGGTCGGTTCCAACCCATAGCAATCCCATGCAGAACAGAACAAAGCGCGGCCTGCCTGGTCCTGCTCCATCCCCACAATTCCTGCTGTGCTGGAGCCCCTTTGTTGCAGCCACTGTGTAAATCAGTCCCCTTGAGAGCCCTCTCTTGTGCTGCCCCTCTACTTTCCCATGATGTCGTTCTCCCGGGACAGGTCTCTCCTGACAACATGCCCAAGTCTCTCCATCCTTGCCTCTAAGGAGCACGCTAGCTAAACTTCTTTCAAGGCGGATCTGTGTGTCCTTTTGGCAGTCCATGGGACTTGCAATGTTCTTCCAATTTGCATGGTCCCAGCCAATCATTCTAGGGCATTACAGAGAAGTGGATCTCTCTCTCTCTCTCTCTCTCTCACTCGCTCGCTCGCTCTGCTCTCACACTCGCTCTCACTGCCATTGAGTTCATTCTGATTCAGGATGCCCCTGTGGAACAGGGTAGAGCTGCCCCTGTGGGGCCTCGGAGACTAACTATTTATAGGAGCAGAAAGCTTTGTCTTTCTCCCGGGGGATCAGCTGGCCTTCAGTTAGCAGCCCAATGCGTAACTACCTGTGCACCTACCTTGCCAGCAGGGCTCCAGAGACATGAATAGAAAAGCTATGTTAAGAAAGTCCACTTCTACTCCTGTTGACAGTTAGTCTCCAAAACCCACATGGGGGTCACTGTGAGTCATCACTGACTCGATGGCAGTTTGGTTGTGGGTGCTAACCACAGAGTGGGAGAACTGAGGACGTGCAGGCAGGCTTCCTGGCTACACGGGGTCCCTCACCCGCCAACACTCATCCGCAGAGGTAAGGAGCTTTGTAAGTCTTGCCCCAGCAGAGCAGGACCAGGTCGCCCTGGAGCCCTGAGGGGCAGAGGACTAGAGAGACTTCCCTGTAGGCACAACTAGGCAGCTGTGCTGACCAAAGAACTGTATCCCAAGTTGTTCCTGATCATGAATTGTAGCCAGCTGCTTCTCTAGTAAATCCTCCATCTCTGAGTGTGGTATGGGAGTTCTGTGTAGCCATTACAAGGAGGAGTTGACCCCAGTGGAGTGGAGAAAGTGTACTGAGAGGGATAGCTGGTGTCAAAATTGGTTGCAGAGAAGAGAATTGTCCAACCTCTGCCTCATCAGTGTCCCCTCCCACCCCAAGCCCCCCAAAAAAACACTGCCATAGAGTTAGAGTCAATGCTGACTCATAGTGGCCCCTGTGGGTTTCCAAGGCTATAACTATAGACAGGAGTAGAAAGCACAGTATTTCTCCCACATTGCTGGCAGTGGTTTCAAACTGTCAACCATGCAGATTGCAGCCCAACTTGTAACCACTACACCACCAGGGCTCATAGGTATAACAAAGTGAAATTTCTTAATCTGGCTCTTCTACCCAAGTTCCTGTAACTCCTGCCAAACGATCGTGTGGGACCATACAAATAGGGCATGTGGACCGCTCATAGAGGGGGTTGCTCAGTTCTTGTTACAAGGCCCCTGGCTATAAGGGTCTGCCATTTTGGGGAAGAAATTCACTGCCATGGAGTCGATGCTGGCTCACAGATACCCTCTAAGACAGGGTGGAACCGTCCCTGTGAGCTTCTGAGGCTGTAGAAGAAAGAAACCCTTGCAAGAGCGTGTTCAAGATCCCTGCCTGAGGTGGCAGAGGGAGCCGAGACCAGCTACATCAGAGCAGCAGCGCCCTCCCGAGAGCATGGGGTCCCTTCTCCCCCTGTGACCGGAGGCTGTGGAACTGTGGGTGGAGTGACACGGGGCTGGCTTCCTGGCACATGGAGGCAAAGGCCAAGAGACCAAGTGATCAAGAGGCTAAGACTCAGAGAGAGACTTGGCTGCTAGCTGAGGTGACCCATGAATGTGTCCTTACTGTGTGCTGATCCTCACTTGGGGTCACTTCCCTAATAAACCTCTTCACTGTGAGTATAGTCAGTGAGGTCTGTGTGGCTGTTGCAACAAAGCATTGAACACAACAGAGATGTCGAGTGGCCTGGGAGCAACCGCTGGTGTCAGAATAGGTGATGATGGGTGGAGCCTAGAGGTCTGCCTGACCCCTGCCTCATGGCAATGGGGAGGCCAGAGGAGGTCAGCTATGTGCCCCCCCACACACACACACACACATACACACACACACCATTGCAATTGGAACCAGCTCTGGGCCTATAGTGATTCTCCCGAAGTTAGAGGAGGCCGGCCGGCCGGATGCCCCTGCCACGCCCTTTGCACACCAGGCCAGGCCACCTGCCCAGGTTCACACAGCCAGCAAGTGGCTGAGTTAATCTTCAAAGTCAGGACTCTTTGGGCCCAAGAGTGAATTCTTAGCCCTCAGGCTGGACCCTGCTGCTGCCCTTCCCGCTGTGGCCTGCACTGTGTTCACACCCATCTGGTTCCTGCCTCATCTTCCCCAGGGCAGCCAAGCCAGAGACTCCGGGTCCCTGGAGGGTAGTAGCCCAGGTCCCAGCTCTTCCAGCTTACTTACTTCTCAGTGCCTGGGCCAGCTCTGCTTTCCAGCTCCTCCATCCCTGACTGCTGGGAAGGTGGACCCTTGCTGGTCCCTCTCATTCAGCCCTTTCTCCCTGCCAGGCCCAGGCCCACCTGGCTTTACTCTTAGGAAGCCCTGGGGGGATAACCACCACCCTACTCCCCCATCCCCACCCGTCCCCATGCAAAAGAAGCAAGCAAAAGTCAGAGGTCATTGCTAAGGCCTAGGATAGCAGTCCTGTTGTGACATGCTGGGAATGTTTATCAGATGGGTGCTTTGCACACACATAAGCAATGGGACCAGCTATGACTTCTTCCCCAGAGAGTGACAGGGTTTTACTCTCCAGGGCAACTTCCAGGCACAAAGTTTGGGAGCCCAGCTGTGTGTCTCAGCAGGAGCTCTGCTGGCCTGTTAGGCTAAGCACTGGCTGGGTTGCAACCCAAAGGGTTGGCAGTTCAAACCCATCAGCTGCTCTTCGGGAGACAGATGAGACAGTCTGCTTCCTTGAGAACCTTCTGGATTCCAAGGCAGAATTCCCTGGAGAGCAGTGGATGTGTACCACAAGCCCTACCTTAATGGGGTCCCCTTTTTCCAAAAGAGAGGCTTGGCTCTGCCTTCTGCCCCCAGTTGAGGGCAACGGGTCAGGGCCTGGTCTACCTGGTCACACCTGGCCAGCTGCAGTGGGCCCCAGGAGAGTGGCACCCTAGGGCTTTGGCACTGCCCTGGTCAGACATCTCCAGTCAGCAGAACCCCACCCCCTGCCGAGATCTGAGACCGTCTCAGAACTGCTTGAATATTTCATGCTGGCAGGTGGAATGAAAGTTGGTAACCTTAATTGTTAATGGAGCCACAAGCCCTCGCCAGCAGCACCCACAGTGACCCCCGGTGCACCCAGCGCTGGCCGACAACAGTTCTGCGTAAAGAGGAAGGGCACAATGCAGTGGTCCTCCATCCCTAGTCAAGCCAGCAGGGGAGACAGTTGTGACATAAGGGAGGTGAATGAGGGGAGGATGTTGGGCGCAATGCGTTGTGTGTTTCCAAAAGATACAGTTGGAGTCCTGGCCTCTGCCCCCTGGTAGTGTTGTGGTTACCCATTGGGCTGTTAGCTACAAGGTCAGCAGTTCAAAACCACCAGCTGCCCCTCAGGAGAAAGACAGGGTTTTCTACTCCCTTAAGGATTTGCAACCTCAGAAACCCACAAGGATAGTTCTACCCTGCTCTGCAGGGCTGCTCTGAATCAGCACTGACTCCATGACCCTGAGTTTGGTGTGGGTTGGCCCCATTGGGAAATAGATGTGCTACTGTTATTATGGTAACGAGGTCGGTCATCAAGAGGGGGTGGGTCCTAACCCTAATCCCTAACCAGGGAAAGTTTTTTGTTTTCTATTTTTAACTCCTAGCCATCTCAATCCAAAGCCTCATCTTTCTCCCGAGGAGTGACTGGTGGGCTCGAAATGCTGACCTGGAGGTTAGCAGCCCAACCCCAGAACCCAATTGGCCCCTAGGCCTCCGTACTGCTCATCGTGGCTTGGGTGCAAGCTCACAGAGTGAATTAGCTTTCCTTCCAAATATTCCCGCACTTGTGTGTGCTTCGTGGCTCTCACTGTAATCCTCCTTCCCACTTCATCCCGCACTTCCTGTGCCCATCCTTCCTTCCTCCCACCACTTCCCACCCTTGAACCTTGACCCCAGGCAGCTTCAACCTCTCCAAATGGAGTGGTTGCTTAGTCTAAGGAGGGCGTACCTCCCTGGTACGAGAGTTTTTGTTTGTTTTTAACTGTTTTGTTGGCCTATCATGCTTATGTTATACAACTTAGTACGGAAGTCGATTAAAGAGACTTGGGCGCACCCCCCAGCAGTTGCATTTGGCTGAAAGTGGAGCCCTGGGCGTGAGGTCAGTTCTGGGAGGAGCACGAGCCAAATGAAGCCTAAAAGCCAAAACACTCACTGCCGTCAGGTCAGTTCAGGCTCAGGGAAAACAGACCAGACATAAATCAGCAGCGATGAACCTGGTGATGGTAGCTGTGTCAGCGCAGACGCTGCTGCACTGGTTCCCGCGGTGGCGGCGGCCATGGTGTCTTCAGGGCAGATCCCTAGTCCTTTCCTCCGCTTCCAGCTGCCCACCTTGGAGTGAGTAGCCACGCACTTAGCCATTGGCACCACCCACCCACCCACCCACCCACTCACTGTCCTCTGGCGGGGCGTGCTGACTCCCAGAACTGCCCCTGCGCGATTCCAAGACTGGAAATCTTTAGGGGAGCAAGAAAACGTCCTCTTCCTCCCTCGAAGGGGCTGGTGGGTTTAAACCGCTGACCTTGAAGAGAGGGTTCTGACTCAGTCCCGTGGGCATGTTAGGGTCGAGCTGCCCCAGCGGGTTTTCAAAGGTGTACCTTTTGAGTGGGAGCAGACTGCCTCCTCTTTCTCTCACACAGTGGCTGGTGGGCTCCTGCCTGCGTGGTGCGTAAGTCAGCACCACGGGGAATTCTTTTTAGGTGAGTCTCTGTTCTCACCACCCTGGGGCCGGATTCTTTCTCCCAGCCTCCAGAGCGGTTCCTTGAAGCCCCTGCGGGTCGGAATTGACTGGCTGGCACCCTCACAGCAGCAACAACGTGCAGGGGCAGAGAGAGGGAGGACGCGCCTCCAGTGGCCGCAGCAATGGGCAACAACAGCAACCGTGGCGAGGCTGGCGCCGGCCCGGTCAGTGTTTCAGAACCAACCCAAGGGCACCCGACAGCACCAGCAGGCACAGACGTATCGTCGGTCGGTGTCGTTATTTCTAGAGAGAACCCTGCTGGTGCCCATTAGACAGCCGACCTCAAGGTCAGCAGCTGAAACCAGCAGCAGCTCCTCGGAAGAAAGACGAGGCTGTCTGCTTCCGTAAAGATGGACCGAGCCTCCGAACCCCTAGACAGGGTCGCTATGAGCAGGGATGGGCTCCGTGCAGTTGGTTGGTTGGTGGGGTAGCAGTTGGTGTAGCCCTTGGTGATAACACACACAACAGTCAGTGGCTGGGACCCACCGGAAGTTCCCAGGAGAAAGATATGGCCGTCTGCTTCTGCAGATGACAGACTTGGGGCTCGATGGGGTGCCTCTGCTCTATCCCACAGGGCTGCTGAAAGCCAGAGGCAACTCCACGGCTCCTGAGGACTGCAACATATGCGCAGGAAGGGCATTTGTCCTTTCAAAAGCCTTCCGTGCAATCCAGCAGCTGTGGAGTCAGATCTGACATATCGGGACCCGTGTACAACAGAAGGAAAAGCTGTCCGACTG